CAGAGACGTTAGAAAGAACTTTTTCAGTGTCAGAGTAGTTAACAGATGGAATGCACTAGGAAGTGATGTGGTGGAGGCTGACTCCATACACAGTTTCAAGTGTAGATATGATAGAGCCCAGTAGGCTCAGGAACCTGTACACCAGTTGATTGACAGTTGAGAGGCGGGACCAAAGAGCCAAAGCTCAACCCCCGCAAACACAATTAGGTAAGTAAAATTAGGAAGTACACACACACACTGGAAGTTAACCGGTGGACGGCGTGCCAGGTGGCAGTAAACAAACAAGGTGAGTGTGTGGGGTGAGCGAGACACTCGGCAACACTGCACACCGCGGACCTTCACCACTAACATATCTGGCTGTCAACAGCTGCACCGTGCCACTCCTGACCCAGTCCTGCTGCACTCCTCTCCAGGTCGTTCCTGCCTACTGCAGCACGGGGGGCGGGGTCCTGGTCATTGTAGTAGTGCTCTTGATGCTCTTGTTGATGTTGTTAAGGAAAGCAGGTTACTAAAGATTAATTAATTTGCGACCGTCACTTGTCTTGACGCGACCTTCAAATCACTCGTAACTACTTCTCACCCAAACAACCTCTCTACCTGCTGCACCCAGTCACAAGTCCTCTCTTCCTCCACTCACCTGTGCTAAGAAAAAACAAAAGCTGTATTGCCGGCTTGTCGGTGCATATACACTTAGAGTTTGCTTCAGTCGTGAACTGTATTCAGGATTAAGGCACACTTGTTGGTCGGTCAGTAAGGTATTGTGGTGGCCTTAATAACCCAAGAGGTTGAGTGCCCTCAAGCTCAACTCTGCAATTGCAACGAAATCTGCCCGAAACGCTGTGCGTGTTAGTGGCTTTGTGAGAATGTAAGAACACCAGTGTTATGTAATCTTACAGACCCATTGTGCCTTCTTGTAAATAAATAAATAAATAAATAAATAAAACTCAAACAGCCTCAGGCACAGATTTGACAACGTCACGCAGCAGTTGAGCTTGGAGTATTGAGGCAGTCGAGTGACCACATACCCCAGCGGTGTGGTCACATGTTTTACTTATTTATATATACAAGAGTTCTTATATTCTTGTACAGCCACTGGCACTCAAAGCGTTTCGGACAGGTCCTCAATCTGAATTTTTCCCCGGAATACAACCCGCCAAATTCTTTAACCATTCACTGCTAGGTGAACAGGGGCTAGAGTTAAGGACTGGCGCCCAGTCAGCCAGGATACGAACCTTGGCCAAAGCGCTCGCGAAGCGCCGGCCAAGTGATTTACTACTGCGCCACGGGGACCACATCGACACAGTGTGACCCCCAGATCGAGGTGGTGTGGTCACAGTCCTAAGTAGTGTGGCGGCAGATGGCGGAGGTGTGGGTGGCAGCGCTGACCACCACAGCGACGCTCCGACACAGTTACCTGACCCACCACAGTACGACAGATGGTCACTATACACTGCTTGCTTGCTTACTCGGCCTCTGTCACGCCCAAGTCTCCTGTGGTTCACCAAATGGTGCAGCTGGTTAAATCAGGTGCTCCTTTATCTACGACCACCTGTATATTACACCTGTACACGTGACGATGTTGCCCTTGCAGGTGGCTTAACTATGCTGGAATACCTAAACGTTTCGGTTCAAAAAGATGGTAGTGATGTCCAGGGAGATTATAGTCGTAACTAGATGCTTACATTTGTATCCGTGTGATTCTGTTACAGTTGTATTCACGTTGCAACACTTGCACAACAATTACATAACAATTACTGTATAAACAATTGCTTATTACTAACAAAATACCCGCCGTCACTGCCTGAAACAATCAAAGTGATAAAAGCAAATTTCTACAATAGTTTATGCTTTAACATTCTCTTTATATGATTGTTGGTAATAGAAAACTAAAGTTGTTCAAGGCTAACTTAGTAATAATTCCTCTTGCCTACGTTCGAGTTATAATAAATAAATAATAAATAAATAAATGTTTAAAAAATAAATTTCAGGTAAGGTACATACATACAAGAGATTTTACAAAAATTGATAGATTTATAGATAGAGCTAGTACATACAATGCCTAAAGTCACTATTACGCAAAGCGTTTCGGGCAGAGGTTTATCACCAGAGCAAGATTTGAATCCTAGGCTAAGCCCAAAGGTGAGCACCCGTTCCTCAAAAAAAGAACCGACGGTCAAGGCCCTGGTCTTTTCGAAGAAATTAACAATCGACTCGGTCCTCTGTCTTGTATTAAACATAAGAGGATGTGCCTTGAACATAAGATAAAACATTAAACATTGGAGGACGTTGATCTGATCGGAACTACCATTCAAGCTGTCATTGCAATCAATCTGAGCTTTAATATACCTACAATTTTCTCTCATCTTTTATTTTTTTTCTTGCTATGTAACTGTTACCATTTTTATAAATTTTGTAAGTATTTACCTACTTAAAATTTTCTTAGATTAAGGACCTGCCCGAAACGCTGCTCGTACTAGTGGCTTTACAAGACTGTAATTATTATGCTATGTATCCTCACAATCCCAATGTACCTTCTTGTATATATATAAATAAATAAATAAATAAATAAATCAGTATATGGCCAGCATGATAACAGGGGAACATTAGCGCCTCTGGTGGCCAGAAGCTTAACTGTGTTATAGGTTGACAGTTTTGACGTTATGGTCACCCATGAGGGAGTCGACCGTCCGGTCTCCCATTTCCCAAAGTAAACAAACTAGCCATTTGAAGACGACGTAGCGCCTGGCGCGGTGCTGGGTGACTGCCTGTGAGTACCTTAAATTGGTCGTCGCCTCTCAGTCACCAACAACTCCCCTAATAGGTGTTGCAGCCATATTTGTTTTGACAGTCACTATATTGACTAGTTGTGTTAGCTAAATGTTACGTTATTCGTTATTATTCTTTATATTTTGTGTATTAAGTCACAGAGCCGTGAGTGAGGAGGAAGCCACAAGGGTGACAGACGTACCCACTAGTGGGTCATTAGGGCCCTTATGGTGGCCTTATACCCATGCCCAGGGGTACCCAACACCAGTGGCCTTATACCCATGCCCATGGGTACCCAACACCAGTGGCCTTATACCCATGCCCATGGGTACCCAACACCAGTGGCCTTATACCCATGCCCACGGGTACCCAACACCACATACAAATCTAAGACATATTTAGTTGTAAATGAAACGAGAAATTTGGGCAACGAAGTTAGTGTAAAGTTCGGGGAGGGGGGTTAGTGCACGTTAGTTGGGGGGGGGGGGGAATTAGTGCACGTTAGTTGGGGGGGGGGAATTAGTGCACGTTAGTTGGGGGGGGGGGTTAGTGCACGTTAGTTGGGGGGAGTTAGTGCACGTTAGTTGGGGGGGGGGGTTAGTGCACGTTAGTTGGGGGAGTTAGTACACGTCAGTATAATGAGGATGAACGGGGGAAGGAGAGGGCCTCGTATAGTGAATTTACCTACGAGCCACCATCTATAATGACTACGACGGGGATGAGACGCCAGCGGCTTGTCAGAGTCCGCCCCCTCCCCCCTCCATTTCCCTGAGGATTTTGTTTATCTGAATGTTAAACTCGGCTGTTTTGGTCGGGGGAGTGAAACACCGTAGACGTTAATTATTTTAAGTAATCAAATTAATAAATTAGCAACGTTTCCGCTGTGACCCAGAGAGGTGTCGGGTAGACGCGGCCCCTCTTTTTTTCGGGGGGGGGGGGGAAGTAAAGAGGAAGGAAAGGCATAGGAGAAGGGAAGTATAGAAGTGGGAAATACAGTGAGAGGTATGAAAGCAGGCGGGCTGTCTGCCTTGCTGACACGATGTGTGGGTGTTGGCAGCTAAGCTAAGCTGGCTCCCTCTTGTCAGGGAGCTGTGAGTGTGTGAGAGGTTCTTCACATGTGTTTCACCATATATGGATGTCCATAGATGAATACTGTGTAGCATTCATATGTACACACACTGACAGTGGATGGGAAGAAGATTGTAATCTTGATACTCTACAATCCCCCACCAAACAGTAGAAGGCCCAGGCAGGAGTACGAGGACAGCAACAAGACATGTATAGATGAACTGCAGAGGGCAGCAACTTTAGCGCATAGAATGAGAGCGAAGCTGCTGGTCATGGGGGACCTAAATCACGGAGAGATAGATTGGGAAACGAGGAATCCCCATGGCGGGGAGGAGACCTGGGGAGCGAAGCTGGTAGACGTTATTGACAGGAATTTCCTAACACAGCATGTGAAAGAAGATACTAGGGAAAGAGGAGGGGATACGCCCAGCCTATTAGATCTCATTTTCACCCAGAATGTAGAAGACATCGAGCAGTTGGAACATGAAATACCACTAGGAGCTAGTGACCATTGTGTCCTAGTCTTTGACTACATGATGGAGCTTAAAATTGTGACCAAAGGACAAGAGGTCCGGGAAAGGAGACTTGATTACAGAAAAGGGGACTACAGAAGGATAAGGGACTACCTGGGAGAAGTGCAGTGGGAGGAAGAACTTAGAGGAAAAACAGTGCAAGGTATGATGAACCAAGTCATATTGAAATGCAAGGAGGCTGAAGAGAGATTTATTCCAACAAGAAAGGAAAAAAGCAGGAGGGAATATAATAACCCATGGTTTAATAGACAGTGTCAGGAAGCAAAGGTGAGAAGCAGGAGGGAGTGGAGGAAGTACAGAAGACAAAGGACAGAGGACAACAGGATTAGATGTAACAGAGCTAGGAATGATTACATTAATATAAGACGAGTGTCGGAAAGAAATTATGAGAATGATATTGCAGTCAAAGCGAAAAAGCAACCTAAATTACTACATAGCCATATAAGAAGGAAGATGTCGGTAAATGACCAAGTGACAAGACTGAGGAAAACAGAAGGGGCATATACAGAAAGCGACAAGGAAATCTGCGAGTAAATTATAGTATCCTTTGTGTGGGCCGCAGTTGTGCTTTCAAAGGGCTGCGTGTTTGACATGCCTGATCTATATAGTAAGTAAACAAACAACAGAGAATTATTATAAATACGGCCAGGGCAATTGTGCTGTGGGTGCCAGGGCAATTGTGCTGTGGGGCCCAAGGCAATTGTGCTGTGGGGCCCAGGGCAATTGTGCTGTGGGGCCCAAGGCAATTGTGCTGTGGGGCCCAAGGCAATTGTGCTGTGGGACCCAGGGCAATTGTGCTGTGGGACCCAGGGAAATTGTGCTGTGGGACCCAGGGCAATTGTGCTGTGGGACCCAGGGCAATTGTGCTGTGGGACCCAGGGCAATTGTGCTGTGGGACCCAGGGCAATTGTGCTGTGGGACCCAGGGCAATTGTGCTGTGGGACCCAGGGCAATTGTGCTGTGGGACCCAGGGCAATTGTGCTGTGGGACCCAGGGCAATTGTGCTGTGGGGCCCAGGGCAATTGTGCTGTGGGTGCCAGGGCATTTGTGCTGTGGGTGCCAGGGCAATTGTGCTGTGGGGCCCAGGGCAATTGTGCTGTGGGGCCCAGGGCAATTTTGCTGTGGGTGCCAGGGCAATTGTGCTGTAGGTGCCAGGGCAATTGTGCTGTGGGGCCCAGGGAAATTGTGCTGTGGGGCCCAGGGCAATTGTGCTGTGGGGCCCAGGGCAATTGTGCTGTAGGTGCCAGGGCAATTGTGCTGTGGGGCCCAGGGCAATTGTGCTGTGGGTGCCAGGGCAATTGTGCTGTAGGTGCCAGGGCAATTGTGCTGTGGGGCCCAGGGCAATTGTGCTGTGGGGCCCAGGGCAATTGTGCTGTGGGGCCCAGGGCAATTGTTCTGTGGGGCCCAGGGCAATTGTGCTGTAGGTGCCAGGGCAATTGTGCTGTGGGGCCCAGGGCAATTGTGCTGTGGGTGCCAGGGCAATTGTGCTGTAGGTGCCAGGGCAATTGTGCTGTAGGTGCCAGGGAAATTGTGCTGTGGGGCCCAGGGCAATTGTGCTGTGGGGCCCAGGGCAATTGTGCTGTGGGACCCAGGGCAATTGTGCTGTGGGACCCAGGGCAATTGTGCTGTGGGACCCAGGGCAATTGTGCTGTGGGACCCAGGGCAATTGTGCTGTGGGACCCAGGGCAATTGTGCTGTGGGACCCAGGGCAATTGTGCTGTGGGACCCAAGGCAATTGTGCTGTGGGACCCAGGGCAATTGTGCTGTGGGACCCAGGGCAATTGTGCTGTGGGGCTCAGGGCAATTGTGCTGTGAGGTTCAGAGCAAATGTTCAGTATAACATCCTTTAGCTTGTTCAGTATTCTAAAAGTTTTAATGAGATCTACCCTGTCATGCCTGGTTTGCAGTGTTAGCCCTGTGGCCAGCTCTCACAAGTCAAGCCTGGCATCGGGCCGGGCTTGGGGAGTAGAACACCCAGAACCCCCATCAAGCAGGTATTAAGCAGGAGGATGTTGATCCTGACAATTTCTTCAAAAGGTCAAATGTAACACAAATAAGGAGCAACGGTTTCAAGCTCAACAAGCCACAATGTAGGACAGAGAACAGGAGATGCTTTTTCACCCAGTGTTATAAACCCATAGAACTGCCTACCCTCTGAAGCCATAAACACCAAAACTCCGTTTGGTTTTAAAATCCATCTGGAAAGGATCATTAATGCAAATTGGAGGACCTTCGACACGCCGCGCCTTCCTGTCCTCATCGAGGCCACTAGTGCTTGTGGCTCTCAAATAACTCAGGTACTGTGTGTGTGTGTGTGTGTATGTATGTATATATATACTGTATATATATATATATATATATATATATATATATATATATATATATATATATATATATATATATATATATATATATATATATATATATATATATATATAGTTAGGTTAGGTAGGTTAGGTAGTCGAAAAAAAATTAATTAATGAAAACTTGGCTTATTAGGCAAATCCGGCCATGTATAGTAGGCTGAGAAGTGCGTTCTGGCTACTAGGTACGACATATATATATATATATAATATACACATGCGCTCCGCTCCGTCCGAGGTGCGCCCCATCTTACAACAACCCAAAGCTTGACGAGTATGACCTCCTACTGAAGACCATGCTGGAAAAAGTTGTTAACCTCTCGCTCAACGAATGCCAGTGGAAACAAGCCACTCTTCCTGTCAGGCTCGGTGGCTTGGGTGTCCGCACCGCCACCCAAATTGCAGTCCCAGCCTTCCTGTCTTCCTCCTCAGCATCAGATGACCTGGTTAAGGAAATTCTACCTGACACCCTGAGTGATGTAGCGGGGATACAGGACCCCACTACACGGAATGTGACACGAAATGGGGTGCCATGACAGACCCAGCACTCAGACCAGCCATGCCGAAAGCCAAGAAACAATCCAGTTGGGACAGCCCCATTGTAGACAAAGAAGCCACAGCTTTGCTGGAGGCAGCAACAACCCCCAGTGATCGTGCACGCCTCACAGCTGTGCAGGCTCCCCATGCAGGGGACTTCCTTCTGGCAGTCCCTATGTCTGCGACAGGCACACGTCTTGATCCGCAGGAGCTCCGTATTGCAGTCGCTCTCCGCCTTGCTGCCCCTATCCACACTGTTCACAGGTGTATTTGCGGCGAGGCAGATGCTGACGAATATGGATTGCATGGCCTGCACTGTGGAAAATCGGGTGGTTGGCACACTAGACACGACGAAGTCAACGACATCATTAAAAGAAGCCTTGCCTCTGCTCAGTGTCCAGCGGAGAGAGAGCCCCGCAACCTACTGAACCGTGACTCTGTTAGCTTTGCCGGCCGACCAGACGGAATCACACTGCGTCCGTGGAAGGGTGGCAGGCAGTTAGCATGGGACTATACTTGCGTATCCACCCTGGCAACGACATACATCACCCTCTCTGCCGGCACGGCAGGAGCCGCAGCGACACACAGAGAAAAACAAAAGTCAGTCAAGTACAGGCAATTAGATCAAAGGTACAATTTCGTTCCAATAGGGTCTGAGACCCTAGGCCCATGGGGTGAGAGTGCAAGAAGGTTTCTTAAGGATCTTGGTTCCAAGCTCATTGACACCACAAGAGACCCTAGAGCAGCAAGTTTTCTCTTTCAGCGCCTCAGTGTCGCGATCCAGAGGGGAAATGCCCGCTGCATCCTCGGTTCCTGCCCGGCGTCGGAGGAGTTCGAGGAAATCTACAGCCTCTAGGAAGCGAACTTTTTCTTGTGTCCTCTTAATGTTCATTTTTTGTATAAAATCAGATATGTAACTGTATAACCTTGCATAATAAAGTGTACATCATAATAAAAAAAAAAAAGGGGGTGGTAGGAGAAGTGAACACTCTTTCGTATTCAGAGTTAAATGTCAAGTTTTTCCCTGAGTGCTCTGTGTTCCCTTCTCTGAGGCTGTGGGTCCCTATAATTACACCAGTGGTGGTACCCCCCTATATACACATATATATATATATATAATATTATATATGAGTGTATACTGTATGAAGTTGAAGTACATATCAGCTAATTCTTTTCTGTAAGCCAATCCAATGCTTTTATTTCAATATTCCTGTGTTTTCTTAATTGTTAAATGCATGCCGATTGTGAGCCATAATTTTTAAATTCTCGGCAGTTTTTTTGTTGGAGGTGAGAAGGCAGTGTGTACTGTAGACGCTTAAGATTTTATTAAGAAAAATATTAGTGGACGTATTGGTTATGTTTATAATTTAATTCAGATTTTCATTTTATATTGCAAGGTCATTTGCAATATAAAATAATATAAGTACATTTGCATGTTGCTGTGTAGTCTGAAGAATAATATCTTAGTATCCAATGATATTTTGTATGCTAAGAGGAAGGTAGCATATTAATCAGTTGTTCTGTCAGTGATTATGCCAGAGGTAATCATGTCTACATGTTCATCTGTGGTCCAGAGTTGAAGCACATGTTTGACAGGGTTTGGCGATTGTAGGTATTAGCATACAGGAGTTGATGCAATTAAAGGAATTGTCATCTGGAGGTATTTTATTAAGAAAGGTCATTGTTGGAGTCCCGGCTGAATATGATGTGATTTTTATTAGAGTTTGTTGCTTATGATTAAATTCCTCAGATTGAGAATTCTCTTGTTACACTGACATTGGGACCTCTATAATCAACTTCAGTAGATACATCTCTGTCATCTCACCCCTATAGCAACATATCTGCAGTTATCCCATTATAACAGGTGCCATTTTCCCCTTTAAACTGTTCATTGCTTCTCTAATAGCCCCTTTATTCTTTTGCACTGGTCTATTAACTCTACCAATTCCAAAACATGTTATTGCCCTTATTTCACCAAATGTAACCTGGAGTCAGTATTTTTCCTCTCTATTTCAAACTTAAAACCACTCAAATCTTAAATTTTTGTATCATCTCTTCCCATACGTATATATATATATACAGTACACCTATTTGACACTCACATTATCAAAGCCATTTATTGTGACATTGTCTAATATTTTACCTAATCTTAAAAGTTTACATTTTCCTAAATTTCTTTAGTTAATCACTTACTATATTCTTTGATCGAAACACACACTTCTGAATTATCCAAATTTTGCACACCACTGCATAATGATCTGACCCTACAAACCTTCCTCTTGCAACCCTCACATCTTTCACACTACTAGGTAAATAACTAGGCGAGTACAATACCTAATTATTGGCATTACACCTTGCACAGCTAGGTGAGTACTACTATTATATCTTCTGTCAACACACACATTCAAACTCATTTGCTATATTAATACTCTCCCCTTTGCCTCTGTTTATATCTGTGTATGATCCAGTGCTGAAAGAGAGTACAGTACTTGACAGAAACAGGCTACTATTCAAACACATCTACCAAGAAATCTTCATTTTCATTTATACTTAGCATACCCAACTTTCCAACAACTCTGCATTCATTTCCCCACCCTAGCTTTCATGTCCTCTACTAGTCATTTCCTTGCTGTCTTGTAGCTTCTACGCAATCATTCAGCTGATTTCGGAATGCCTTAAGCTCATTCTCAAAACAATTTCCTCACAAACTGACACACTTATAATTACATAGCTCTGCTGTATTGTATCTAGCACTCATTCCAACATATTTTTTTAATTAATGGTGATGTTAATATCTTGCACCCTTCTTCATTTAACATTTTTACTATACCATACAAGTGATCCCCTCAAACCTTCCCACCAGTTCAAATTTTCACCATTCTCCCATTTACTCTTCCCATTAAGATGCATATCACTTCTAACACTACAGAATAACTTTTTAACAGGAGTAGACAACTTTTGACTTTTTAGCAGGCTTAGAGCTTTCCCTTCCCATAGCTCGTGTTAAGCTTCAACATTCAATATTTACCTGGAACGTGATCCTACCAATCGATTTACCAACATACATAAAATGTATACACATATATATATATATATAATATTATATATGAGTGTATACTGTATGAAGTTGAAGTACATATCAGCTAATTCTTTTCTGTAAGCCAATCCAATGCTTTTATTTCAATATTCCTGTGTTTTCTTAATTGTTAAATGCATGCCGATTGTGAGCCATAATTTTTAAATTCTCGGCAGTTTTTTTGTTGGAGGTGAGAAGGCAGTGTGTACTGTAGACGCTTAAGATTTTATTAAGAAAAATATTAGTGGACGTATTGGTTATGTTTATAATTTAATTCAGATTTTCATTTTATATTGCAAGGTCATTTGCAATATAAAATAATATAAGTACATTTGCATGTTGCTGTGTAGTCTGAAGAATAATATCTTAGTATCCAATGATATTTTGTTTGCTAAGAGGAAGGTAGCAAAGTAATCAGTTGTTCTGTCAGTGATTATGCCAGAGGTAATCATGTCTACATGTTCATCTGTGGTCCAGAGTTGAAGCACATGTTTGACAGGGTTTGGCGATTGTAGGTATTAGCATACAGGAGTTGATGCAATTAAAGGAATTGTCATCTGGAGGTATTTTATTAAGAAAGGTCATTGTTGGAGTCCCGGCTGAATATGATGTGATTTTTATTAGAGTTTGTTGCTTATGATTAAATTCCTCAGATTGAGAATTCTCTTGTTACACTGACATTGGGACCTCTATAATCAACTTCAGTAGATACATCTCTGTCATCTCACCTCTATAGCAACATATCTGCAGTTATCCCATTATAACAGGTGCCATTTTCCCCTTTAAACTGTTCATTGCTTCTCTAATAGCCCCTTTATTCTTTTGCACTGGTCTATTAACTCTACCAATTCCAAAACATGTTATTGCCCTTATTTCACCAAATGTAACCTGGAGTCAGTATTTTTTCCTCTCTATTTCAAACTTAAAACCACTCAAATCTTAAATTTTTGTATCATCTCTTCCCATACGTATATATATATATACAGTACACCTATTTGACACTCACATTATCAAAGCCATTTATTGTGACATTGTCTAATATTTTACCTAATCTTAAAAGTTTACATTTTCCTAAATTTCCTTAGTTAATCACTTACTATATTCTTTGATTGAAACACACACTTCAGTATAATTATAAATTATAATTATACTGAATTATCCAAATTTTGCACACCACTGCATAATGATCTGACCCCACAAACCTTCCTCTTGCAACCCTCACATCTTTCACATTACTAGGTAAATAACTAGGCGAGTACAATACCTAATTATTGGCATTACACCTTGCACAGCTAGGTGAGTACTACTATTATATCTTCTGTCAACACACACATTCAAACTCATTTGCTATATTAATACTCTCCCCTTTGCCTCTGTTTATATCTGTGTATGATCCAGTGCTGAAAGAGAGTACAGTACTTGACAGAAACAGGCTACTATTCAAACACATCTACCAAGAAATCTTCATTTTCATTTATACTTAGCATACCCAACTTTCCAACAACTCTGCATTCATTTCCCCACCCTAGCTTTCATGTCCTCTACTAGTCATTTCCTTGCTGTCTTGTAGCTTCTACGCAATCATTCAGCTGATTTCGGAATGCCTTAAGCTCATTCTCAAAACAATTTCCTCACAAACTGACACACTTATAATTACATAGCTCTGCTGTATTGTATCTAGCACTCATTCCAACATATTTTTTAATTAATGGTGATGTTAATATGTTGCACCCTTCTTCATTTAACATTTTTACTATACCATACAAGTGATCCCCTCAAACCTTCCCACCAGTTCAAATTTTCACCATTCTCCCATTTACTCTTCCCATTAAGATGCATATCACTTCTAACACTACAGAATAACTTTTTAACAGGAGTAGACAACTTTTGACTTTTTAGCAGGCTTAGAGCTTTCCCTTCCCATAGCTCGTGTTAAGCTTCAACATTCAATATTTACCTGGAACGTGATCCTACCAATCGATTTACCAACATACATAAAATGCATGTATAAAATAAAATGTACTGTATATACATACATAAAAAATGCATACGCTTTTACTTTAACATCAATTCCGTGTAGATTATTACCTGTAGAATATTTCAATAGATCTTCTGTTGCAGCCTTGCTTGATCTAACGAGGTTGTCCTTGTATCCCACAGGGGCCACATAGTCATCACAGCCTGGCTGATCTCGTAAATCTAGCAGAAACTTGTCAAGTTCTCTTTTGAAATGTTCTGTTGTCATTCCCGTAATATTTCTTATATTTTTTGGCAGGAGATTGAAAAGTCATCATCTGATGTTTCCCGTATGCTTTTTACTCATGAATATGGCATGAGAATGTTTTAATTGTACTGTATTTATTTGACATCTTCCATGTCTTTCTAGTACGTAATAATTTCATCATTAAATTTTGAAACCTGTCATTTTAGTATTTTCCATATACAGTGTGTGTGTGTGTGTGTGTGTGTGTGTGTGTGTGTGTGTGTATATATATATATATATATATATATATATATATATATATATATATATATATATATATATATATATATATATATGCGGAAAATCCATAGAGAAATATGAAAAAAAACATTTTTTTTTTCATATTTCTCTGTGGATTTTCCGCATAAAATGATCAGTGTTTTGTGATCGTCAATTGCGCATATATATATATATATATATATATATATATATATATATATATATATATATATATATATATATATATATATATATATATATATATATATATATATATATATATAATATATATTAGTATTATAAAATATTTCCTTTGCCTCCATTTCAAGGTGTACATTTTTTTGTGCTTTTGGTTGCAGATAGAAAACAAATTTTACTACCTGTATCACTCATCCCTTGAAAGGGGATGTGAGGACAGCATTAAATTTATTACTGTTGAATTTCATATTGTTTTCTGTTGCCTTTTGGAAGACCTTGCCGATATTTGATTGCAATTTTTCTTTCCTTCACTCGTGCCATTTTCATCTTTTGGCATATCTACAAAGGATAAGGTGAAACTGTTGCTTGTATTCATATGCACATCTTCTATAACGACGAGTAAGTATAGTGGTGCAAGAACTGTATCTCGTGGGACCGAGCTTCACGCAGTATTCAAGCTGGAATTTGTTCTGTTTATTGGCACACTTAATCTGATAGCAAACTAAAAATCCACCTCTCTTACCTTATTCACTTGGCTTTCATTTTATGGGCTATTGCTCCTCCATGGTTATAATTTTCAAATGCTTTTGCAAAATCTGCATTTTGGTTTGCTTCAATATTTTTGTCTTAATTGTCCATTGGTTGCAAAAGACAAGATCTTCCTACTCTAATACAGTGTTGACCTGGGATGTATTACTTATTCATTCCATAACTTTCAAGGTGCCTTCTTAGCACCATGTCGAAAGCCTTAAAGATGTGGAATATTAAGACTCGTATGCATTTTTTCAGTGCATTACACCTCCCTTATGTAGTAGGGCAATGAGTAGTTTCTTGAGTCTGAGGAATGTCACTTGTCTCCAGGTTTTTTCTCCATATACTCAGTGCCCATGCAAATGGTATTTTGCATTTCTTTATCTGGCCTAGAAGCTGAGAGCATGGACATGTTGCCTTTTTCATTTCAGAGAGTGTGGGGTTTGTTGTAAGGTCCAACAAACAACAACTTAGTTAAAATGCAGTACCATTTCACACAGGATAAAAAACATTACATGACTTTCTGTGTGGGCCATGTTTATGAAAGATTTTCATTGTGCCTATTGCACTGTTTAACCTGTATCCATATTATTATAGTATTTTGCTCATTTCATCATTAAAATGAATACCTATTTTTTAATATATTTTAGTACAGGTGTGTAAATTTTTACTCAAATTTTTCTGTGTTTGGTTTCCCCTTGTTTGGATATTAGTGGCCACTTCAGTATTTATGTAACCTTTTTTCTACTATATAGTCCTCTGTGGTTTATTGCTGTTATACCTTTTTCTTATCTTTCTCAGAGGGGCACACTATGGAGATTTTGTACGATAACCAAACCATACACCAGAAGATGAAGAGACGACGACGTTTCGGTCCGTCCTGGACCATTATCAAGTCTAATATGATAATGGTCCAGGATGGACCAAAACTTTTTCTCTTCATCTTCTGGTGTGTGGTTTGGTCATGATATCTTCAGCCACGTTATTGTGACTTGTCTTCAGATTTTGTATGCTTCTGCATTTAGTGTCTCGATGCACTATGTTGTTGTTTGAAGTTCCCAGCAAATACTGAATAGTTCATTACTTTTCGTTTTTTTATTAGTCGGTGCCCTGTTTCTTTATATTAAATACCCCCTCCCCCTTTCTGTTGCACATGTTTTGGACAGTGTAGGCATTTGTTTTTACCCCCTCATTAAAATTTAACCGAATGTCGTATTTGAGGTTGGGACTTATTTGGTCCTCATTTGTGAATATAAAGTTAAGAATATTTTCCCTCTAGTTTTATCACACTATTAGTTCAATGCATACTTGTCACAAAGTGTTATTGATGTATGCTGCTTCCTGACATTTATTCTAGTATAATACTATTATCTCTTTTATCACCTTCCACCTCAAATTTTAAGGTTGAAGTCTCAAGAGGAAGAGGATAATCATTACCAGGTTTTGTAGGTTTTCAATTTTCAATAGTTTTTTGTAGTTTTTCATCTGCTCAATTAATAGTTTGGACGATGCATCAGGCATTTTATATATGAGGATAATTACTAGGGGTTTTGTTCATTGTGATTTCTAATGACATGCTTGCATGTCACATGTAAGATGAAAATGAAGTGAATCAAAATGTGACACAGAATTACAGAGGTGGTGTTTACTAACATACTTGGCTAAGTACTGAATTGCCCCCCCCCCCTCCCAAAGTTAAATTTGCCAATGTATTGCTCCAACTTTCTTATTTTGTTGGAGCAGAGTACTTATACTTGACTAAAGATGCAGACACTGTTACAGGTGATCTTACGTGTTTACATCCTCAGGCAAGTATAATGTCTTGATAAAATAGAGGGTTGGAAGAACTCAATAGTACTTGATTTTGCCCATGTTAGTGCTTGGTCAAGTATGTTACTAAATCCCTCATAATGTGTGGGCATTAAAATTTTCCTTAGCTTGAAATACAATGAAGAATATCAAACCAGTACTATATTTCTCATTTATTTGTGCTAACTCCTTCACACTTCTTTCAGATTTAGAGTATGTTCAGCTGAGAGAGTGGAGAAGCTTTTGATGTACAGATTTTCCATGTTAAACAAAACCTGGAGACAATACACCCAATAAAATATTATACTGTATATACCTTTTAAAAGTTATAGAATGTCCTAGCCAGGCTACCAATATTGTTGAACATGTGGGTGAGGCTTCACATTAAGGTACATTAGATAATCCAGGAAAAATACATTCTTGTTTATGAAATGTGTGAAACTACCAAATTTAATCTGGTTCACTATGGACATGATTTAAAAATTGTCCTCCAGTAACTTGGATAATCCTTGAGGTTACAATATACTCACACGTACAGCAAATGCAACACTTTGAAATGGACTGGAAAACACTCAAGTGAAAAATAGTAATGACAAGAAATTTCTCTCTGGCCAATTTATAAATCAGCCTGACTGATAGTGTATATTCAACCCTGGCTGATGTATATGAGAAATAATAAAGGATGACTTATCCAGTAGTGGCGAGTTTCAATGTTTAGGTACAATAAAGACACATTTAAGGAACATTTCAAAACACTTAAAACATTGAGACATGGAAAGTAATAAAATATTAATATTCATCTGATAAAAACTGGCATGGCAACAAATACTGCTTAATTTATCTTTGTCTAAAATAAGAAATCATTAGCAACTTGATGTTTAGGCATAAGATTACTCAATCTTTGTCAACTTGCCAAGTAATGAACTTTTTCTAAACTCTTGTATGACTAATGAAGGAACTTCAGACTAAAATGCAAACTAAATATATTTACCTTTAAAGAAGTATCTAACCCCTAAAAGGCCCATTAAGTTATGGTACACTATTTTTCATATATAATAAATAACAAATCATTTAGTATTGGAATTACACTAAAACAAAAACCGGATAGACATGACTGAAGGTATTGTATGATAAAAATTAACTATATTTTCTTAATGTAGAGAAGTAACATTCAAACTAAACATAACCTTTGGCTAGAAACTAAAACTGCATATTCCTAGCTTAATAGTTCTAATATTCATTTTAAAGATTTCTGTACAAAAAAATTTACATGGGGTCATCCTAAAGAAAGTTCATCATACAACAGAACTTAATTAAGAGTTTTGACCAAGCTATATGTATACTTCAAAATAAAATAGAGGAAAATCTGGTTTATTTAATTGCCATAATTTGGCAGAAGACAAAAATATATATGTATATATATATATATATAAAGAAGAATTTACAAGACCTGATACACACACACATCCTGAGGCATCTTGATAAAGTAGACAGAGTATGATGGAAATAACTTCTTGCTGTTTCTGAAGACCTCTGGTTAGCATTTCACTCAAGAACTATACTGATGCAAGTTCTGTATATACCTACATGGTTCCCCATTATCATATACAGTAGGTTCAAAATTTAGTTAAAATGCAATATCATTTCACAGAGGATAAAAAATATTAAGCAACCCACAAGCACTTATTTTTCATCTTTAAAGACAATTAACCATTTCTTAAGCACTGCATCAACAAACAGTGAATATAGCCTGCAGTACAGTATATAAATCTGTTCTGATTTCAGCAGTTATCTGCAACATAATCCAGTTCCTCCATCCTTTTTTACTGAATTTACACATCCTTTCTTTAACACTGAGGTATTATCCTAAAACTGTACAATTTCAAACTTTTGTATTACTGTACACATGACCAGTATACCATGATAGCCACATTTTACAAAGGCCCACGTCAGCACCGAGATTCACTAGAAATTTGAGGCAGTGAAGGAGCATCTCTGATATCTGCATACACTGCAGGTAGTTTTGGTGGACTGAGATTCTTTGTGGGAGGCAGGGGCACTCCTGTCAGTCTTGCCACCTCCTCTTCTAATTGTCGGTTACGGCCAAACATGGCAACATAGTTGTGGTGCAGTTGTTTCTGGTAACGTATGACTCGTTCTTTTTCCTCTGTCCACCTTAAACGCTCTTCCTCAAACTGTTGTCTTTGCAGATCACTTTCCCTCTTCATTATTTCAACCTCTGACTTTAATTTGTCCATTTGAAGGCCAAGATCTTGGTCATGTGCTCGTGCTTGTGACTGTTGCTGTTGTGCCTGGTCTAGCTGCAAACGGAGGTCACCAGATTCTCGACGCTGCTGTCCCATCAAATCGTGTAGGGAATTAATCTCTGCACGACGTCTTTCAACCTCAGTTTGGTATTGACGAACCTGGGCACGCAAGTGAAGCAGCTCATGTCCTCGTGTTGTTTGGTCACCTTGAGAATCTTTGAGTTGAGTCTTCAACAAAGAAATTTCACCTGTAAAAACAAACTCAGATTAAAACCAACTCGGTTTCATGTTTTTAAGCAAAATGTGGACAAAATGCTTGCAATTTATGCACAAAATAAAAACAATTGAGGAACTAAATGAATTGTCATCATCATTACTACCCCTATTTTTTAACTCGTGAATTGGAAGGCATTAGCCCAGATGAAACTGTTATAAGGAATAATAGGAAAAGATTATAGTTCTGAAAAATACTCCGAACCCTTTGCAATATTATGCATACTTCGAAATTGCAGAACCAGCACACTAATGCAAAATAGCAACATTCCCATGACTTAATGCAGGGTACAACTAGACACTGAAGCATTCCCACAAGTTGCCATTACAAAAATAAAGTCACTCGCTATCCTTTAAGAAGCTGATTAAATTTATTCTTATTCTCTCCCACTTCTCAGGTGCTATTCACTGTTAAGCTCCCAACCTGTCATCCTACAAAGAAAGTCGCTTTTCACTCGTATGCGTTACACAAGGCCAAAAATTGCCATACTAGAAAATGGGAGCGTCTTGCAAAGTTGACATACTGTCCCATTTTCTGTTTGGGTCCTCTGGTAGGTTAGGAGAGGACACTTCAAATTGACCATTTTCTTGATGTTGGGAAACCTCGAGAGGACGGGCTGAACCTCTACTTCATCGCTTATACAAGGTCAGTACTATTTCTGTCCAAGATCATCTTAGTTTTCCTCCTCATACTTTAAATTCAGTTGATACATTCTCATCACCACTGTTGTTATAAATCAAATTGATAATACTAGTACCATTCAAATCAACTCGGCCCTAATATTACAATTTACTAACTTTTTGCACTCCACATTTTTTCATTATATTTTTATTCCTTTTATTGTAATACTGTTCCAAAAATATCTCAACTGTCCATTTTTACTGCTTGATTTTCAATGTCTTGAATTCTCCTGTTCATGCTACACCAACATCTCACATCTGAATGAACATTAAACATTCATGTAATGTTTGTTTAACCAATACAAAAATACAGTATTAAGAAAACTGCATAACATATTATCTTGTTGGCTAGCTGCATCTACTTTATTGAAAACTGATATACAGTACATATAACTTTATCTTGAACTTCAATTTGTTAAATTCAATGAAATCCACAATCAAAATCTGACAACAATAAGTACCTGATTTCTGGCAAAGGCTCCACTCTGTTTCCTCCAGCTGAGTGCGGAGTGAACTCAGTTCTCGTCTCAGCTGCTCCACCTGGCTCTGCTGACCGTCTCGTTCACGACGGGCCTCCTCCAGTTCAGCCATCAGCTTTCGCCGCTCCTGCTGCAGCTGTTGGGCGAGAGTGCTTTAGCCTAAGAAAAATGTTGACCTAATTTGCCTTTCATATTTTCTCTAGAGACAAAATAGAAAGAAAATTAGAAATATTAACTGGATAAAAACAAAAGGACAATAACCAAGAATGAGAGATCATGCTGCAATTGAGATAATAATCAAGATGATGGTAATTATCATCCCCTAAGCTGAAAATACTTGAAGTAATTAATGGTGATCAATTCTTTATTTTATTATTAAAAAGCTAAAGTAAGCAACACTGCTGTTAACCAAATCTACATTAGGGTAACAGAGCTTAAAGAAAAAAAACTAGCAAGTTTCAGTAACCATTGTACTGTACTGTATCTTCATTTTACAGGACTTGTCCTACATGGGATGCAAGTTACATATGCAACCATGCAATAGCATCCACTTTGTCTTCTAGAAACTGTGAATAAAAGTAATACAGGTTTTACAAAATTCTAGGTACAGTCTCATGCCATTTGGTCAAAAATTAAATCATTGATAATTTGAAAGTCACTAATGATGAGGTGTATATCTTGGCTCTCGTTCCACTGTGTTTAGAGGTACAGTAGTGCTCATGACTGGCAGATTCATTCTTGGTTATCTTGAGATGATTTCGGGGCTTAGTGTCCCCGCGGCCCGGTCCTCGATCAGGCCTCCCCCCCCCTCAGGAAGCAGCCTGTGACAGCTGACTAACTCCCAGATACCTATTTACTGCTTGGTAACAGGTAACAGCTTGGTAACAATATACCCTGTATTATGTTTCAGATATTAATTTTTGCCATACCTGAGTACCTGGAATTTATCACTGTTAAACATCATGTTATTTTCTACTGCCCAATCGAAAACTTTGTTGATATCTGCTTGTAATTTTTCCATGTCTTCAGCAAAGGTATTTTCATGCTGAGTTTTGTGTCATCTGCAAAGGATGACACGAAGCTGTGACTTGTATTTTTATCTATATCTGATATGAGAATAAGGAACAGCAGTGGTGCAAGGACTGTACCTTGAGGTACAGAGCTTTTAACTGCGCTTGGACTTGATTTGATTTGATTGACTGTTACTCTTTGTGTTCTGTTCGACAGAACAGAACACAAAAGGATGATACGAAGCTGTGATTAGTATTTTTGTCTATATCCGAGATAAGAATGAAAAATAGCAGTGGTGTAAGGACTGTGCCCTGGGGTACAGAGCTTTTCACTGCACTTGGGCTTGATCTTACTTGATTGACTGTCACACTGTATTGTTTGACAGAAAGTTGAAAATACAATGCCCCACTTTACCCATTATTCCTAATGATCTAATTTTATGGGCTATCACTCCATGGTCACATTTGTCGAATGCCTTTGCAAAGTCTGTGTATACAACATCTGCATTTTGCTTTTCTTCTAAGGCTTCTGTGATTTTATCGTAGTGGTTGAGTGTTTTTCCATAAAACTGGAAATTTTATTCCTCATCACTTTTTCAAAAACTTTTATTATGCGTGATGTTAGTGCAACTGGTATATAATTTGTTGCCAAAGCTTTACGACCTCCCTTGTACAAGCTGCCCAGCTTGATAATGGTCCGAGACGGACCGAAATGTCATTTATTAATTTTTTGGTGTGTGGTTTGATCATTACAGTATATGGACATCTTGAGGTCATCTTGAGATGATTTCGGGGCTTTTTAGTGTCTCCGTGGCCCGGTCCTCAACCAGGCCTCCACCCCCCAGGAAGCAGCCTGTGACAGCTGACTAACACCCAGGTACCTATTTTACTGCTAGGTAACAGGGGCATAGGGTGAAAGAAACTGCCAATTGTTTCTCGCCGGCGCCTGGGATCGAACCCAGGACCACAGGATCACAAGTCCAGCGTGCTGTCCGCTCGGCCGACCGACTCCCCAATCACGTGACTCGTCGCCTGCATATCAACATTTATCATGTTAGTAAAAAAAAAGAAAGTTCAACAAAATTTGAATAACACGTCAACTCCAAGAGTCCACATTGCAATGCCCAGTTCTAAACAGATGCTTCCTTTCCTGGGCAACTGCAGGATGATGTCATTACTGGGATTCTCAGGGTTATCACTGGGAAAGTAACAGGACCCCCACACGTGCTGGTAAAGTAACAGGACCCACACATGATCGTAAAGTAACAGGGGCCCCCACATGATCGTAAAGTAACAGGGGCCCCCACATGATTGTAAAGTAATAGGGCCCACACATGTGCTGGTAAAGTATCAGGACCCCCACACGTGCTGGTAAAGTAACAGCTCCTACAGGAGGTCAGGGATTCAACCTTCTTCAACTCCCGCCACACTCAACCAAGAGTTGAATAACACTTAGTTTTTAAATAATAGTGATCATGTTTTTTCAAAATATTGATTTTTTAAAATGTTCATATTTCTCATTATTTTTAACCTTACCTCAAGCTCCCATGGCACAGCAGAGGACCCTTCACGGGCCACTGGTTGAAACACGCTGTGTAAGGTTCCCACAGTGTATGGGGACGTTAGAAAGAACATTTTCAATCTCAAGAGTAGTTAGTAAATGGAATGCATTGGGCAGTGATGTGGTGGAGGCTGACTCCATACACAGTTTCAAATGTAGATATGACAGAGCCCAGTAGGCTCAGGAACCTGTACACCTGTTTATTGACGGTTGAGAGGCGGGACCAAAGAGGCAAAGCTCAACCCCCATAAGCACAACTACGTTTTTCTAAATCAAGCTTTCTTCTGTGTAAGCTTTAAGTTGAAGTTGAGAGGTAGTCTTAGGTTGTGCCTTCGGGTAAACTAAAACCATGAAACTGGTTCTAAATGTTCACTAGAATGATGAAGGGAAGGCAATAAGAATGCTGGCTGAGGTGGGAAGCTTTCTGTTTCTTGTGTCCAAAACGAACATCATTCTGTAGATCAGTTTACACAATGTGGCAAATGTGTATCAACTATAAAGAAATAGTTTTGGTTAATTATAAATGGCAATGTGAAGGATTTGAACTGCCCATATATATATATCCTCCCGTAAGGCTGTGGCCAGCACTTCCTGTAGGCTCGTAACCCAACACCATCCACCATGACCCGCTGGGACTCATCTTCCCACCAGTGACCTCTACCAGTGACCCCCTCCCTTCTGCCTATGACCCCTCCCCTACCAGTGATCCCTCCCCCTACTAGTGACCCCTCCCCCCTACCAGTGAGTGACGAGAGGTGGACTTTGTCCCCTTCCCTCCAAACCAACCACAACTGCACTAGCAGTGTGTCCACCCCCCCCCCCCTCACCCCAACCATGACCACGATACAGTGCTAACACCGACCCTGAAGGTAGTAAATGTGAGGTGCTTGTAAGGTTACCAGCGGTGCTCGGTGGTGAGGGGCGGTGTGCAGGATAAACATGTCACTTGTGGCACTACAGGTCCTCTCGTGTGTACCCTGCATCATTTACAGACTACGGGGGGTCGGCCTGGCACCCATTGTTGATGCATGTATCAATATACAGTTTTCAGCAAGGTGGACAGTCCGCCCGCTATCATAACTCACTGTATTTCCCCATTTCTAAATTTTCCCTTCACCTGTGCCTCTCCAACCTCTTAATCCCCTTTGTAATTTTGTAACTAGCTCATCAAGACTGAAACTTGCTTAGCTAAATGAATTTTAGGGTTCAGTCCCCGAGCCCATTATGTGAGACTGTAACCCTTTCCACTACCGTCCACAGGATGATCGATTGACTGATAAAGATCAAGCCACCCAAGAGGTGGCACGGGCATGAATGGCCCATAAGTGGTGGCTCCATAGAGCCAGTACCAGTAGCTGATACTCCAGATCTGGGGATGGGGGGGGGGTCGTCGTGCCACAGGATGGGTATGGGGTGCATAATAAAGGAACTAGACTAACCCTGCCCAGCTGGTTCTTACCAAGTGACCTGTGTACTCACCTAGTTGTGCTTACGGGAGTTGAGCTTCAGCTCTTGGGTCCCGCGGTGAGGTAAGTGGTGGGTGCCTCTGTTTTTTTGTTTTTTTTGCAGGGATATTCCTGCGCGGGCCCTAAGCCTCTGGCTGGCCCACTAAGTGTTGCTTGTTTCTGTTTTACTTGGGCGGAGTATGAGCACTCCTGTAAGAGAACGGGTCCCTGCACACCTATAAGAGGACGGGTCCCTGCACACGTGTAAGGCTGCTCCTCGAGGGACAGGATGCCAGCGAAGACTCACCTGATAGGTCTGTGTGGTGAGAGACTGCTCCACCTTGAGGGCCTTCTGCTGGGCTCCCTTCAAACGGGAGTCGTACAAGTCCCTAATCTTCTTCAGCTCCCGCTCCCACGTCTTCTCCTTCTCTTCGTATACCTGAAGCGATCACACACACCTGTTAGTCTCCACCTGGCCAATTAACTAACCCAATTCTCACATATATGTAATCTGACCTAACTCGACTAACTCAATTATTTACGGGGTAATTAGTGGGTTTGTTTACAAAAATGATCATCTCCCCAGATATTAATGGCAAAGTGATTTGTGGAGATATTTTAAAGGCTTCCCTGAGAATAGCTTTTAGGTCCCTCCCGCTTTATCTATGTCCTACCTTGAATATCACCTGCTCGTTCTGCTCCATTGTCTCTCGTAGGGTGTTGATCTCCGAGTCCTTCTCCTTCAGCATGGCCTCCAGCTCCGCCACTCCGGAGTCTGAGGGCGAGGGCGTCTGGTGGTGCTCGTCCAGCGTCAGTTCGCTGATAGACCCGGCCACTGACCCGCATATCGTGCGGTCCAGACCCAAGTTGGAGCCCGTGACGGACATTGATCTGTCCAACCCGAGATTTGAACCGCTGACCGAACCCGATCTGTCTAGATTGGACCCGGTCACTGAGGCGGATCTGTCCAAGCCGATGTTTGAACCGGAGCGGTCAAGTCCCTGGACAGATCCGCAGTGTTGAGCGTTGCTGATGCGAGTAAGGTTGGTGACGGAGCCGCCCATCCGCTGCTGGAGACCGTTGGTCACAGGCTGGTGATGGTGGTGGTGGTGGTGATGGTGGTGACCGTACGAGTGGCCAGAGTCACTCGATAAATTTTTGAGGCTGTCGTAGCGAGGGAGGTCACTGTTTGAGTACCCGTTGACGCGTGTGTACATGGCTCCGTTGTCGTACGTGCTAGTTAGTCTGTTATCGTAAGAGTTATCGTAATTGCTGGAGAGTCTGTTATCTTGAGGGAGCCGATGGTGAGGGAGACCGTCCTCGATGTTGCTGCAGGTTGACTGGTGGGATGGTGGTCGAGGCGGGGGTGGTGGGTAGGAGGGCGGACTCTTGTTGCTGCTGCTGTTGCTGTTGCTGCTGTTGTGGTTGTTCTTGTTGTTCATGGAGGTGTTTTTGCTATTGTGAAGCTTAGTCAGGCTGTTGTATTTGTTGTTGTTGTCGTTGTTGTGATGGTCGTAGTAGCCTCTTGCTGACACGGGAGTTGCCAGCACTCGCCGGTCCAGAGAGTAGCTGTTGTGGCTCATTGTCTTCAGGTCCCCCATGCCTGTGTTGGAGAGAGATAAGTTAACACAACTATACCAGTGTTGAAGAGATAAGTTACTATTAACTTAACCATACCTGTGTTGGAGAGAGATAAGTTAACACAACTATACCAGTGTTGAAGAGATAAGTTACTATTAACTTAACCATACCTGTATTGGAGAGAAATAAGTTACTACTAACTCAACCATACCTGTGTTGGAGAGATATAAGTTACTACTAACTCAACCATACCAGTGTTGGAGATAAGTTGCTACTAACTCAACCATACCTGTGTTGGAGAGAGATAAGTTACTACTAACTCAACCATACCTGTGTTGGAGAGAGATAAGTTACTACTAACTCAACCATACCAGTGTTGGAGAGAGATAAGTTACTACTAACTCAACCATACCTGTGTTGGAGAGAGATAAGTTAACTCAACCATATCAGTGTTGGAGAGAGATAAGTTACCACAACTCAACCATACCAGTGTTGGAGATAAGTTAACACAACTCAATCATACCAGTGTTGGAGAGAGATAAGTTACTACTAACATCAACCATCAACATACCAGTGTTGGAGATAAGTTACTACTAACTCAACCATACCAGTGTTGGAGAGAGAGAGATAAGTTACTACTAACTCAACCATACCTGTGTTGGAGAGAGATAAGTTACTAACTCAACCATACCAGTGTTGGAGAGAGATAAGTTAACACAACTCAACCATACCAGTGTTGGAGAGAGATAAGTTAACACAACCATACCAGTGTTGGAGAGAGAGAAGTTACTACTAACTAACCATCTCGGTGCATCTGACCATCAACTAAGCAGACTGTGTCTGTATTTTTCTCAAAATTTGGACATAAACTTTAAATTCATATATTACCCCAAATTATTTGTTAATGTCAAGATTAAGAAAAAAAACATAAGGAGTAAGATACACTACAATTGGCCTACTCGTCAATTCTTGGCATTTCTTATTTAATAATTTCAAAGTGTTATATATTCATACCTGGAGCGGCTTGGCACTTTCTCCTAACACATTACCTAGTAATTGGATGGGGTTCTGGGAATTTTTCTACTCCCCAGCGACTTGTGATAACTTGGTCTAACAGGCTGTTGCTTGGAACGGCCCGCAGGCCCACATACCCACTACAGCCTGGTTGGTCCGGCACTTCTTGCAAGAACCTGTCTAAGTGCCTCTTGAATACATCCACCTTTGTACCAGCAATATTTCTAATGCTTGCTGGGAGGGTGTTGAACAGCTGTGGACCTCTGGTGTTCAGTGTTCTCTGGTTGTGTCTATGGCACCTCTACTCCTCACTGGTTCTATTCTGCATTTCCTTCCGCACCTTTGGCTCCAGAATGTTGTTATTCTACTGTACAACTCAGGGACCTGGCCCTCCAGTATCTTCCTTGTATGTGTTATTGATACCTTTCTCGTCTCCTTTCCAGAGAGAACATTTTGAGAGCTCTGAGACGGTTCCAGTGGCCTTGCAAAGTCCGTGTATTCCACTTGCAATTTGTGTGTCTTCTAACGCTTCTGTGATGTTGTCATTCTGGTTGAGTAACTGTGAAAGGCATGACCTTCCCGCTCTAAAACCGCGTTGACCTGGGTTGTGGAGGTCATTGTTCTCCATAAAACTTTGGACTCCTGATCACCCAAGAGTGATCACACAGAAGTCTTGTGTGTGATGGTAGTGCCCCCTGGCCTAACACTTTCACCCAGTGCCTGGCTCCCTGGGTTATGTAGTGGGGCACCTCTGGTGACTTAAGTAATGCTGACATCTCCCCCAGTGTCCAAACCCACTCACCACTCTCCCCGCTCCTGGTTAACTATACGACTGGTGTACCCTAATAGTATTTAATTTTTCCAAGGAGTGCCGGACCAACCGGGCTGTGGTGGGTATGTGGGGCCTGCGGGCCGCTCCAAGCAACAGCCTGGTGGACCAAACTCTCACAAGTCGAGCCTGGCCTCAGGCCGGGCTTGGGGAGTAGAAGAACTCCCAGAACCCCATCAAGCAGGTTAATACTTACTACCATAGTGGTGCATGCCGCCCCTGGCCAGCGTGGGCGTGGAGGTGTAGCGTGGGTCTGGGCGTGAGGGCGGCGTGGTTCCCGTGGGCGTGCTCACCATCACGCCCACCGTTGACGCCCCGAGGTTGACCCCACATCCAGACTGGGGGGAGACGCCCCCGTGCACCCCCGTCGACGCCACAGGCTTGAAGGCGATGGGCCGGATCACCACCTTGCCCTGTCACACACACACACAACAATATTAGCAACACTAACAATATTTCTCAATACATTTGACAGCTTCATTTTCTTTATAAAATGTGACTTTCAATACTGTCTGTAAAAATATATATATTTAATGACTCAAATATTGCTGGGAAGATAAGATCTTGCTGGAAAGTAAGATCTTGCTGGAAAGTAAGATCTTGCTGGAAAGTAAAACTAATAAGGAAGGTAAGGAAGGTAATGCCTCGTGGAGGTATCGAACTGATAATAGGAGGTACGACCTCAAATCAAATTCTTATTCAGGTAAAAGTAGACATACATACATGATGAATTACAAACATAATGTCACATGTCTAGCAAGAGCCAGTACAAACAATGCCTTACGGCCGCTAATACGCCCAGCGTTTCGGGCAATAACCTGCGGCCCTAACGTCTGGCCCTGCGGTCCCACGCCGGCACCCACCCCTCGGACGCTCGCGAAAATGTGACTCTTGATTCTATTTGTTATCTGATGGGACTGTGCTTCGCTGCCATGCTCGTGTGCACCATGACGACTTAAGCATGCGGTATGTAAGCTGGCGAGAGCTTGCGTATGCGCAGCGTGGCGTATGGGGGTGTGTGAGCGTGTTCCCATTGGCTGCCACTGTAGCGCACATCAACACACACACACCTACACGGGGTCATATCTACCCACTTGGTAGGGATCAGGTTGGCGCGGACATCACCGCCGCCACTCGACACACATACAGACTCCACTCTCAGTGTGGCGCTCAGGGCGTGGGAATGGGTGTGGGTCATGGGGGATGGGTCTAGACACTCTAGGCGTCTAGGGTGCGTCACGAGGAATGGGTATGAGGCGTGGGTTTGGGAATGGGTATGAGGCGTGGGTTTGGGAATGGGTATGGGGGCGTGGGTCTGGGAATGGGTGTAAAGCGTGGGTGTGCACGAGTAGCCCAACACCGGCCTCCCTCCTCACACCACCACCAACACCCCCCCCCCACACCACCATTCAGGTCAATAATGGTGGTGTGATGGTGACCACCAGACGTCGTGGACGTCTGGTCCTGGTGGTGATGGTGGTGGTCCTGGTGTGGTGGTGGTGGTGGTGGTGGTGGTGGTGGTGGTGATGGTGGTGGCCTGTGTACTGACCTGACAATGGTCCAGGAAAATGATTTTAAACAAAGAAATTAAAGAAACACGCAGAAGCTGAAGCAATCATACTACACTGAAGAAATTAAGTCGGAACACAACGCCACAGAAGGTAAAAGAAAAATCTAAAAAATATTTCTTCACATGTACGAAACTTCCACCAGCACTGGACTGATACTTACAAGTGAAGGTTCGTACACAGAGCACAAGCAAATTAGTGAAACACTAAAAGATCACTATGAAGGTATGTTTAAGACCTCCGATAAACAACGAGAAAGGTGAAGACCCTAAGTCTGATCCCTCACTAAGATAAGTGAGGGATCAGACCCCTGACTGAACACTACTCATCAGTAGATCAGTCACATTAACATCACACACACACAATAACAGCTCTTGAATGAGTGATCACAAGTCAGGTCTCCAGTGTCATGGAGAACAGTGACCTTCACAGCCCAGGACAACATGAATTTGGAGCGGGAAGGTCATGTCTTTTGCACTTAACCAATATGACAACATCACTAAAAGGACTTTAGACCTCCTGGCCTATTGTACCACCAACTGTGTAACTATTTCATTGACTCGGTGTTCTGGACGACATCCTAACAATTTACCCAAAATTTGCTTGTCCATTTTAAAGAATGAAGAACAATTTTTATTTATATTCTAAGCTGTATCACTTATGAACCCATCCCAGCCCTTGTGTGGCAGTGCACAATAGAAAGTTGTTTTCACATATCCACACATTAAAACATTGATTGTAACCATGATATATATGTGCTTCAGCCTACAGTTTAGACCTGGTTGATACCTGGTTGATGGGGTTCTGGGAGTTCTTCTACTCCCCAAGCCCGGCCCGAGGCCAGGCTCGACTTGTGAGAGTTTGGTCCACCAGGCTGTTGCTTGGAGCGGCCCGCAGGGCCACGTACCCACCACAGCCCGGTTGATCCGGAACTTCTCTTAGAAAACCGTCCAGTTTTCTCTTGAAGATGTCCACGGTTGTTCCGGCAATACTTCTTATGCTCGCTGGGAGGACGTTGAACAACCGCGGACCCCTGATGTTTATACAGTGCTCTCTGATTGTGCCTATGGCACCTCTGCTCTTCACTGGTTCAATCTTGCATTTTCTTCCATATCGTTCACTCCAGTATGTTGTTATTTTACTGTGTAGATTTGGGACCTGACCCTCCAGTATTTTCCATGTGTATATTATTTGGTATCTCTCTCGTCTCCTTTCTAGAGAGTACATTTGGAGAGCTTTGAGACGATCCCAATAATTTAGGTGTTTTATCTCGTCTATGCGTGCCGTATATGTTCTCTGTATTCCCTATTGTCTTGTGTATGACCCTTTGTCCTGCGTGACAGTGAATACTAGCATTATCCTCAATTTAATAAGACTATCAAAATCCTCAGATTAGGCAAAATTGTAATTAATTTTGTCAATAAAGATGTTAATAATAATAAATCACTAATGCAGTGGAAGAACAATACAATATAGACAGTGTAATACACTGTCTTTGCAAAAGCATTTGATAAGTGTGATCATGGAGTGATAGCACATAAAATGAGATAATAGGAAAAACGGGTAAAGTAGGGCAATAGATATTCAACTTCCTGTCAAACAGCCTCCAAAGGGTAACAGCCAATCAAACAAAATAAAGTCCCAGCAGAGTAAAAGTTCTGTAGAGCAGAGCACAGTCCTTACACCTCTGCTGTGTCGCATTCTCCATCAGATATGAACAACAATACTAATCACAGCTTTGTGTCATATTTTGCTGACGACACAAAGAGCATCAGGAACATGACTTACATGGGAGATGCTGAACAACTGTAGACTGATATTGATGAAGACTGATTAGGCAGCGGAAAATATCACGATGCTCAACAGTGATCAATTCCAGTTACCGAGTTACGGAAAAATGAAGAGCTTAAACGAAATACATTGTGCCATAGGCACAATCAGAGAACACTGTATAAACATCAGAGGTCCGCGGTTGTTCAACGTCCTCCCAGCGAGCATAAGAAATATTGCAGGAACAACCGTGGACATCTTCAAGATGAAACTAGATTGTTTTCTAAAAGACGTTCCGGACCAACCGGGCTGTGGTGGGTATGTGGGCCTGCGGGCCGCTCCAAGCAACAGCCTGGTGGACCAAACTCTCACAAGTCAAGCCTGGCCTCGGGCCGGGCTTGGGGAGTAGAAGAACTCCCAGAACCCCATCAACCAGGTAAGCTCCAGATCAGGAGTAGATGAATAAGATGTCGTAAACAATTAGATACACAGGTTTAAATATATAAGAACGAGTGAAGAATGACTGCAGGCGAAACCGATTGTACACAGTCCACCCCCCACCCTCCCCCTCCCCACATATCCCAGCTCCCCGTCCTCATATCCCAGCACCCCGTCCTCATATCCCAGCACCCCGTCCTCATATCCCAGATCCCCATCCTCATATTCTCCACAAGAGCCTTGCAGTCATGCAAGCTTGGCGCAGCCTCTGGTCCAAGGATCAGGCACCAGTATGCCACACGCAATCTTAAAATACAACAAAAATATACAAGTCTAGACGTGTCAAGGGTCTCCAGCTCCTCCCTGTGTTGCACCATATTTCTCCATCAGAAAAGTTGCTTAAGCTTCAGGGGCTCAACCAACCAACCCTGTACCTCCAGTCTGGTCTGAGACAATATTGCGTGTCAGTCACTCGCTTCTCTCAAGTTATACAGCGTTACGGCACGTTATGATAACCAAATGCAACGCGTTATACAAATTTCGCTGTTCGCAAACATCTCACGTTTTCTATGCCGGGGTTGGTTAAGTTAGATGGGTGGCTTGGGTGCATACGTTTCCGGTGAGGTTAGCAAATCAAGAGGACGGGCTGAATGAGCAGCTAAAGCCTCGTCTACACCCAAGGCTTGGGTGTAGCTCAAGGCTGTGGATTGTTGTTGTTATAGATTCAGCTACTCGGAACAAGTTCCAAGCAGCACGGGCTATGGCGAGCCCGTTACTTACCTGGCACAGGAGCGGGGCAAGTAGCACGGGCTACTATGGTTAGCCTCGAAAAAGGGGTTGTGGATGTACACCATCAATATATATACAGCCAGCCTCCACCACACATGTCCGACCTACACCTCACACTGCACTACAGTAACCCCGTCTACACCCACCCACTCCTACTCTACACAGGTAAGGGGCTCTACCTGGGTTTACAATATCAGTTGGTGACGTTGGGTGTGGGCGGGAGCCTCTCTCTGTCCCAGTTTCCCAGTCCCCCCCCCCCCCCCACACACCTCCCAGTTTCCCCACATCGCTCCAGTTCCCCCCTAATTGCCCCAGGTCTGCCCTACCACCCCCCCCCTCCCACACTCCACCAAGGGTTCAGGGAGTACACAGCTTGCCTGAGCTACAGTGGAATTCTACTAGAGAGTGACGAGGCGAATTATTATGACGAGACATAATAATTAACACGTGGAAAGTATTAGCGGGGCTGGTCCCAAACCTGAACACAGAAATAACACCACATGAGACCAGGAGGCATGGCAGGATGTGCAGAGTACCCCCGTTGAAGAGCAGAGGTGCAACAGGTACTCAGAGAGAACTCTATCAACATCAGAGGCCCGAGACTGTTCAACACGCTTCCACTACACATAAGGGACATAACTGGCCGGCCCCTCACAGTGTTCAAGAGAGAACTATCAACATCAGAGGCCCGAGACTGTTCAACACGCTTCCACTACACATAAGGGGCATAACTGGCCGACCCCTCACAGTGTTCAAGAGAGAACTATCAACATCAGAGGCCCGAGACTGTTCAACACGCTTCCACTACACATAAGGGACATAACTGGCCGACCCCTCACAGTGTTCAA